TATATATATATATATAAAAGGACCAGAAGAAATAAATATTTCTCTTTAGGGTTGTATTATGGATTAAGGTCAGTCTGACTGGGGGCCTCAGACTAGAATCCCCTGGTTTGTCAGCAAATGCTACCAATGAAACGTTTGGGGTGAGTAAGATTTTTTTATATTCAGCAAGGATGCATTAAATTGATCAAAAGCGACAATCAAGGCATTTATAATGTTGCAAAAGGTTTCTAGTTCTATTTTCTTTCAATTGCATTTTCCATTAAATAATCCTGAAAAAAATGTGTAATGGTTCCCACAAAAATATTAAGCAGCACAATGTTCAGAACACTGATAATAATAAAAAAAAATTCTTGAGAAGCAAATAAGCATCTTAGAATTTCTGAAGGACATTGTGACACTGAAGACTGGAGTAATGATGCTGAAAATTCAGCTTTGCATCACAAGAATAAATTATACTTTAAAATATATTACAATAGAAAACAGTCATTTAAAATTGTAATAATATTTCACAATACTACTGTTTTTACCATATTTTTTTTTTATCAAATAAATGCAGTCTTGGTGAGAATTAGAGACTTCTTTTCAAAACATTAAAAAATCTTACCGACCCCAAACTTTTTAATGGTAGTGTTAGTGTATAGACCATGATCTGAACACCTAGTCTGTTTGGTGTAAATCCAGCAAAGACACTGACCTGATGGTGGAGAACTTGGGGAGGTTGTTATGGCGATCAATAAGGCTGACCAGAATTTCCAGCACCAACAGTCGAATTTCTGCATCTTCTAGCAGAGCAAATGACAGCAGTGGATCCAGAAAGGAGTTTGGCAGAGCTGTCAGCATATTGGTCGTCTGGAAACCACATGTGACCTGAAAAGACAGAGAGAAACATTACCTGTACAACATCAAATCTGTGCTTTGATGCAATTCTCTTTCATGAGGCAGGTAAAGTTTACCTGTCTCAACGACTTCAATAGCATGACTTGGATCATTCGATTGCCCTCAGGCCTGCAGTACAGACAGAAGCAAATACAATGCGTTCACGTCATAAATTCCAAGTGAAGACATTTAATTAATTTTGAGGAAAAAGAGTGGTTTTGTGTCTGAATTATTCTGTTTGAGTCAGTTCTTTTTAGATAACTTTAATTGACCAGTTACAACCATAATAAATATTTAGGGACACAATAGTGACTGCAGTGCTCACCCTGAGCCTGTAGAGTGCAGCATGGGATGCATGCCTGGAATGGGGATCTTCCCCATGATGAAGAGCATCACCTCAGAGCGCTGGTATGTGGGTAACGTGTTTGCAAATGAGCCTGATTTTAAAAGACACAGACCACAGTAATGGAAAATTTGAAAAAAAGCAGTGAAATATGGGTCGTATAATGCTCACACACACACACCGATAGTCCTGATGACGGCTTCCTGTAGCTGTCTCTCCTCGTGCTCCTTGATGATTTTGGTACCGATGTTGGTGCAGTCATAGGATCCCGTGAGTTCATAGTCCACACTGAGCCTCAGATGCCGGAGCAGCGTGTTGAACACCTCCAACACTGTGGGGCCTAAAATAAGCAACACACACATTTTTTATATATGCAGAGACTTGTTTAAAATCAGTCATCTGCAGCTGAGCAAACAAAATCAGTACAGCTGGAGACATCTGATGCTTTGATTTGAGGTGTCCAATTAGTGAATAAATTGTTAATTTTATTATTGTCAAAATGACTTGCAACTTGTTGTTTCTTATTAAGTTCGTGGTGCTGCTGATTCCAAAAATAGTGCTCGTTTTGTTCTAGCGAGAAACACTCTCACAAAATATGACATGCATTTCATAGCCTTTTTGCTTTCAACAACCATTTGTAAAGTGAAGAAGTCTTGTCTTATCCCTTATACCAGAAAAACTGCCACAAAAACAAAATTCTCATCTTCCTCTGAGCCAGGTTACACATTTTCACATGCATGAATGACTCTGAAGACAAGGTTAGGATTATGGCCAGTGACAGAAGAAAATGCAAACATGACTCAAATGTTTTCTGGTATGTGGCTTTACTGCATCCAAACAGTGACAGAAAATTGAGTGAAAACCTGTGTTTATATAAAGTTCTGTGGCATTAAATGGACTATTTGAATAACTTTCCTCTCCTTTGCAGATTGTAAGATAAATGATACATGAATACTGTGAATACTCATTAAAATAATGTATATAAGTGTAATCTGAAAAATATTCATTCTTATTTTGTGAAAAAAAAAACTGTTAATCGGAAAGTTTTTATTGATCTTTTTTTAACCCAGCATGATCAAATTAGGTAATATTAGCCATATTATGCAAATCAGCCCCCCCTTATTTTGGAAAATAAGTATTTGGTCAATAACAAAATTTCATCTCAATACTTTGTTATATACCCTTTGTTGGCAATGACAAAATACAGAATCACCATTGAGTGATTGATCAAATAAATCTGATTTTTTTTACAAGCTTTTTTAAAACCGCAAAATGTCCAAATGACCAGATTCATTAAAATAAATCAAATTTCACAGTTCTAGTTTAAAGCTGTAGGTGGCGTTGTCCCCCTTGGGTCAGCAGCAGTGCTGCAAGAAGAGGTGTGAAGGGTTTTCACACGGGATATTAGGTATGAGCACTGACTTGACGTAAGAGAGGAGAGTCGGGCTGTGAAATGTATATTTTTGGCTGAAATCTAGATTGGGTCAGATGCAATGTCACAGTTCTGTTCTCCCAGAAGAAAGACTTCACGTCTGGGGGAGAGTGACCCAGATACCGAACACAGGCGTAAAATGTGATATATACGTTACAGCATCTGCAAAGACACAACTCTGTTTCTGTGCAATGAGATATGCTCTGGCTGCACAATTTAATGTTTTGTATATTTATGATAGTGATTTACATTAACCGGGCTGTAAATCCATACTCACCAACAGAGCCACTGGCAGCGATGGCAGCCGCCTCCAGAAGCACCTCCACTATTCCAGCACGCACTGTGGCTGAGCTCCTACTGTTGGCATCCAAATGGCCCAGGAGCTGCTGGATGACCAGATGAGAATGCTGGGACTGGAGGGAGTGAAAGAAAGAGAGACAAAGAAGAGAGAATAAATTACCTTATAAAAAATAGATATATAATAAAAAAATTAATCAATAGATATATATTATACACATATATTTAAAATTTATTATTTTTGCATCACTACTGTAACCAATGCAAGATATTATTAAAATATAATTTAAAAAAAAAAAAAGCTTTAAAACCTTCATCTGTCCCTCTCGAACCTATAACAAAAGTGTCCCTTGCGGGGCAAAATGACCCGAAGGCCAAAAATTACACTAATTTTATTTTTGGTTCAGAAAGTTTATATTGGTCCTTTTTTATATATATATTTTTTCAATTTTTTTTTATGTAGGTTTTTTTTTTTTTACTATTTTTTGGTGATTTTTATTTTATTCACATTACATTCTGGATATTTTTATGAAAATGAGCATATTTTTATACATTTTTTTCACCAAAAATTCACCAAAAAAAACAAACAAAGACATTTTCTGCATATTTATACTTTAAACATGATGATTCATCAGGACCTAGGTCACTGAGTGTCTCTGATGCCATCTGGTGGGAAAAAATTACACAAAATTGCATTTTATGATTACAGCCACTAGAGGGGCCTATTGAATCCTATGGAGATTCTTAAATGAGCCAAACAAGTGAAATCTTTAAAACTACACTAACTTGAGGCTTCATTAAGCTTTCAGATATATATCAAAACATAAAAAAAACTATATTTTGTAAAAAAAAAAATGTAAAAATAAAATTGATACTGATTTTTAATCCAAACACATGCATATCCATACAGTTTCATAAATATGTAATAAATATAAAAGATACATTTAAAAAAAAAAATGATATAAACTCATTGGTCTCCACCCTATCACTCAAATTTAACCGTGTTAAGTAAATTTTTTTTTCAAAATGACAGTAATTTCCCAGCAGAAACATCATAAATGCTATAATGTGTTTCAATGGGAGTGTGTGTGCCATGTGTGTGTTTGTGTGTGCCTGTGTGTGTGGGTATGTGAGTTTTTTGTGCATTGGAGACATTCTGCAGTCTCAGCCCTTTGTTTGGGTATGTATCTTTTCTGGATTGTGTCAGATTTTATATAGTAAAAAAACTCAAATATATTAAAAAATGCAGTTTTTTTTCCGGACATTCCATTAATTCGTATGGCCGGGTCAAAATGACCCACGTGGGACACTTTTGTTACTTTTTTTTTTACACCTCATTTTATTACACTAAATTTTTTTTGTATGTGCTCCATGCTCAAGTGCGACAAAATGAAAAAAAATTACGAAAATGTTTTCATAAATTCCATGCTTTTCCAGTGGCGGGTCAAAATGACCCACGAGGGACACTTTTGATACTTTTTTTATAGCACCCACTTAAACTGCTCGAAATTCACTTGAATTTTTTTTCATGTATTCCCGGTTCAAGTGTGACAAAAGTAAAAAAAAAAAGTCTCATAACATAACGATCAACGCTCGATTTTTAAAAAATCTTTAAAAATTAGTTTTGGGTCAAAATGACCTGAGGGACGGATGAGGGTTAAACGCATTCGGACAAACAGCTAGTGCCACCCAAAATGATTTATTATAAATTTAAAATAATAAAAAAAAATTAATACTTAAATAAAATTAACAAAATAAATAAAAATCAATGGCATGTATTTCAAGTATTTTTCTTCAAGTTTTTATCATGAAGTAAACATTAGTGTACGTTTCTTCCATTTATTTATTTTTTTCATAATAACAACAAGCGAGTTTAGATTCTTGTCTCAATTTAAAAGAGGACTGAACTCACCTGAATGGAGTACATGATGATCTTAAAGCAGCGCACTGCAAATGTTTTGCCTTCCCACAGCGAGTGATTATCAAGATGCCTGCGGTGAGAGAATAGAGCTCGAGCTTAGGAAATGAAGCCAAAAATGACTGAAAAATTAGATTCACTCCACCCGCAGGGAGATTAATTAAAAAGTCATAAATACTCCATAACTGAACATGAGTATTAAATATTCTGAGTTACTCTTAAGTCTCTCTAGAATTCACTAAATTCACTAAATTTTAAGTGGCATACAGCTATACCTTAAAAACTAAAGCAATACCTGCACAGATTAACAAAATGAAATTCTCAGCTTTTCATAATCTAAGCTGGCAGGCGCGATATGTGGCGAATCTCTTACATAAGCACAGGGGTGACTGCGTTCTTGATGTTGCCATAGGCGGCACGGCCCAGCAGTTCCCGAAAGCAGCGCTCCGTCAGCTCGGCTGGGCTTTCTTTCTCCTTCTTACTGGCTTGCAGTGGGGAGGGAGAGCGACTGCAGAGGAAACCGAAAGAGAAAGAGGGTTCAAACAGAGCTTTGGTTTCTGAGAAGAAGCTGAATAAAAACATACTGACAAATAAAATGATCAAATGAGAGTTTACAAGTAAAAAACATAGGCGTAGCTTGACGTTTGAGCTTGGGGGGGGGGCAAACCAAGCCAGTTGATTTGGTCAGTCACACTTTAAAATACATTTTACATTTTCTATAGTTAACAAATTCACACTCTGTGTTTTTACTATGATTACATAGAGCAGCAGTAAGCGCTTGAGGTTGTCATGGCAACCAGATACATCACACATGAATTACTTGCGCTATGCATATTTTTGCTGCGCTAGCAAGAAACACGTTGAAAATAATGCACTATAAACATGTTTGTCAACAATATCAAAGTAGGCTTTTATTAACCAAATCAAGGAGTGAATTTCTCACCCACTGCTTTAAAACAGATATCGGCTGGACACGATTCAAGTTCAACGCACATTAGCATTCCAGTTTAAAATATTATTTTTCAAAAATTTCAGTCTGTAAAAATGGGCTACAGGTGGTGTTTTTACCATGGGCAAGCTATGCCCATGGTAAAAACACCATCTGTAGCCCATTTTTAGTAGTCCATTTCTAATGGAAGACAAGGATTCTTGCACTAAAAATGTCATCATTTAGATACATTTAGAAAACACAGTTTTCCTGCTACTGTAACTTTAACACTTTTATATCACCTCTATTATGATTGGCTAATCTCCACTTATTCCAAATATTGTTCAAAATGTAAGTCAAGATGTTATCATACATATTTTTTCTTCAAGAAAATTTGTCCTAAGTATGTTCTGATGGTCTTTTCATCAAGAAAACATGACAAAACAGTTCAAGAAAATTCCATTTGAGTTACTTAACCTGATAGTTTGAAATTAAAAACAATACTACATAATATTGAATATAACATAAATTCTTGCTACAACTATATAAAATCTTTTTTATTTAATATTTGATAGTAATTCTAATAATTTTTTAGTAACATTAAAAGCAAGACAGTCAACTATCGAGTCACATGAATCTTATAATTTCTTATTAACATACATATTTTGCTTTTCAAGTAAATTTTTCTTAAGTATGTTCTGATGATTTTTTTTACAAAACAAACAACAACAAAATTTGATAGTAATTCTTACATTGTTATTACTGAAATTTCTCAAAACCCTGTAAAATATGCTACAGCACCTAGAGACTCATTAGTCTTGTCAAGAACTTATACACATTTTCTCCCCAGCAAATGTATCTTAGGTTTGTTCTGTTGTTTTTACAAGAAATTTAATTTGAACATTTTTTATTTGAAATGTAAATTAGGAGATTGAAAGACTGAAATTAAAAATAATACAATATTACAATATTGTACACAACTAAACTTCTCAGAACTACACAAAGTCTTTCAGCTTAATATTTGATAGCAACTGTAGAGTCACTTGAGTCTTATCAAGTCTGATTATCTTGCTTCTCAAGAAATTTTTTTAAAGAAAACATCAGACAAAACAGAGATTATGAATATACTTTTTTGTATAGGAGTCTGAAAGCCTGACATCATGTCATGTATAAAATTTCCTGTGTGAGCTTCACTGTGTGTGAGTGTGTCAGAAAAAAATGTGAGGGTCTCACAGGGTTCGTCTCATCATTAATTTATCACACTGTTCCTCTGCCCTCACACACCCTGCTGTCAGTCAGTCTGCTGCTCCGCTCACGGTCCCTCGGTTATATAACCACATGACGCTGGGCTAAATCTGCAGAAACTCTTCTCACCTCAGCTAACAAACCCTCCTGCCACACATCCAGAAAGATGCTGGACTGTTTAGTTGACCAGAAATAAAAGTACATTGTGTTTTAGTTCACTGCTGTGGTTGCACTAAACCAGCCTTGCAGTTTTGCCCATCTGAAATGTGCACATCTCACAGGAAGAGTCAATTATCAGCTGCCCTTTACATCAAACGGCAATTAGCACATACCAAACAGCAGAAAGGGGTAATTAATGTCTCCACCTGTGGGGTAATTATGGGTGCATAGGGGGCGCATCAACAAGGAGTCAGCTTTGTTGATTAGAATGATTTGGTATGACGCGTCACAACACGTCAAAGCGGTCTAACTATAGGTCAATTTCAAATTCAATTGCAACTTTTTGTGTTAATGCAAAATTGAAAAGATTTGCATTGGTGTGAATCAGCTGTAGCCATAACCCTAACTCAAGTCACATATATTACGAGAAGGCTTATTAATTTGTGATGAATAATATTAACTTTTGATTTTTTTTTTTTCAAAAGTGACAGTAAGGACTTGGTTAGTTATTGTTAACTTTCTATCAAAAGATCCTGAAAAAATGCATCAGAGTTTTCTATAAAATATTAAGCAGCACAACTGTTTTCAACACTGATAATAATACATTTTTCTTCAGCAGCAAATCAGCATATTAGAATGATTTCTAAACGATCATGTGACACTGAAGACTGGAGTAATGATGCTGAAAATTCAGCTTTGCCATCACAGAAAAGTATTTTAAATTGTAATTTCACAAAATTACTGTTTTACTGTATTTTTGATCAAATAAATGGGGTCTAGGTGAGCATAAGAGACTACTGTCAAACATTCTGGAATATCTGAAAGATATAAAAAAAAAATTCTAATCTACTTTTGAAATGTCTTAATAAAACTGCTGCCTAGTAATATTAAAAGCTGGATAATCCAGTGCAATATGCTTAACAGTATATTTCCATTTATATACACGTAATTAGTAAAAGTAAATGATCTGGCTCAATGGAGGATCCAGCCATGAGAGCCGCCAAGCATCCCTGGAGGAAGACACGTTTGTGTGAGTCAATTATTAACCAATTTAAGCCCAACACTCTCACCTCTCTGTGCCTTCACCAGACTGCAGATTGAAGAGCAGTGAGGGGACAATCTTGTCCATGTGCTGAGGGTCCCAGATGTTCGCCTGCAACTCATCGTTTACGGTCTTCCTCACTACACCCTGTAGACCTTTGATGCCAGCCATTCGAATTCTGAGACGAGTAAGTGATGTGAAATTAGATGTATAGCATGTATATAGTGTGGATAGCATGTATATAGTGTATATTCTCTGTAATGTTTTATCCATCCATCCATCCATCCATCTATCTATATATCATTATACATTTATCTATCCATCCATTATCCATCTACCTATCCATTTATCTATCCATCCATTATCCATCTAACTCGGGATGTAACGATTCACAGCGAGCCGGTTGAAAATTGATACAAATACGTGACGATTCAAATTGGTTGAGTTGTTAAACGAATCGCGATACATTTGGGGGTGGAAGTTTATATGAATGTATCTCTGAGGGGAACTGACTGTCTTTAGAAAAGTTTCGATTATATTTTCTTTTCATCTCGTCTCTGTATAATTCATATTAAAGCAGCGTTCATAAGCGCTGCGCTGTTCTGCTTTGTTTACAGCGGTAACCAAGGAAACACTGTATCGCTGCTGTTCCATAAGTATGGGGGTAGAATTGTTGCATTATTCCAAATAAATAGATTATGATCCACAAATAAATCTCAGAGTTTCACAAACATGAATTAAATTCACAAATAAATAAAATGAGATTTGCAAATAAAAAACATATTCACAAATACATTTTTATGTCACAAACACGACTTGGCCTGCCATTCATTTGTGAATCGCGTCCTGTACATTTGTAGATCGCTGCGCGCATTTGTGGATTTTGAAACATTTCTAACGTCAAAGACGCTGACAATCCACAAATGCATGGACTCCACCCACCGTCTGCTCAAGCCAATCAGATAACAGCCACACTTCGCTGACCAATCATAGCACGTTCTCGCTATAACCAATCACGTTTTGCTTTCTACAAATGCTTTGCTTTCTAGCGATCTACAAATGCAGAGGATGCAATTCACAAATAAATGTCAGGCTAAGTTGTGTTTGTAGAATAAAAAGTATTTTTTATTTGTGAATTTAATTCATGTTTGTGAAACTAAGATTTATTTGTGGATCCCTACATCTAACTATTCCATTCATCTACCTATTCCATCCATACATTCATCCTCTTATCCATTCATCCATCCATACATTTTCCATCTACCTATCATTAATCCATTCATCCATCCACCCATTATCTATCTATCTATTCTTGCATCCGCCCATCCATCCACCCACCCATCCGGATTGTCTGCAGCACACTGTCAGATGTGTGCATAAGTGTTTGCTCACTTAGTGCGGATGTCGGGGTCCTCATAGCTGGAATGGCACATCTCACTAAACCGTGACACGAAGAAATCATAACTGCGATGATATGAGGGGGTGTCCTCCTCAATGTTAGCAAACTTCACAAACTGCAAATTAGAGCAATTCAATAGAAATACATTAATCACATAACTAGACAAACCTAATCAGGTTAAAAACCCATTTCCTTGAAAAGACTGCAAATGCTGCTCTACACAGGGCCAGCTAGTGGGTGATTATTATGAGATGGAATAATCAAAGATTAAATGTTAATGTGATGTTGTTTTGTTCTACATTAACCCTGACAGACAGCACTGTCACCTCATCATCATTATTAGACAATAAAAGCTTTTCTGACACCTACAAACAAGAATAATAAATATTTATATACTGTAGAGGAATAGGCTTCACCTGCATGGAAGTAAGTTAATTAAATTAATAACATTAATACATTATTTTAATATTAGGATGGGTTCATTAGGTAATGCAGATTTGAATAGTTAAAAATGTCATTAATCATGTATTACATTCACATATAATTTCACACATGCAGATATTTGCATGTATATTAATATCTCATGTACATGAACTACTAATCGGTTATATAAAAAGTCTTACCGTTTTTGTTTCAGGCTAAAAAATGAATCTTTTATCATTTAACAGGTTTTAGGTTATTTATAGATTTGAGCTATTTTAGATCAAGATCACCAAAGTCGTGAATAAAATAAAAATAAAATGCATTAATATAGAAATAGTAGAGAACTGATAAATGAGACCATGTCACCTAGATTATTTAATGACTCATTTTAAACTAGTGCCTGCATATCAAATCTGTAATTAATAAATAATTGCATTGCAAACTCTGGACCTACATTTCCTTCCTATTATGCAATTTGGCTTTTGCCGAACCGACTGAACCTTCAGAGAACAGATGTGGGTGCAGTTCTGACTAACGCATCTCTGTCCTAGCATTTAGAGGTAAATAAGGTCATTGTGAAACACCACTGAGAAATAAATCTGTTTAAAAGGGGTTTTTATATGTGACTGATATCTGCAGCATGCAGCTAAGGTGTTTCTGGATGATATAGAATAAAATAAAATGGGTTAGTCACACTGAGTTTAAGTACTGCATTTTATATGTTTAATGTGGGTGCATGTTCAATGCCCTAGATTACTCATTTTGATCTATAATTGAGTTTGATTTTATGTCCATGTTCTGATTGCATTTAGATGGAGGCACTGCAGTGTGTGTGCTTGTTTATGACTCATCTGCAATGTTCATCAGCAAACATATTTTTATATAACTGGCTAAAGTTTTCATATAAAACAAACCTTCACTGCACATGGGGTCCAAAATACAGAGCATTAAAAGGGCCATATTACACACTTTTACAATTAGAATGGGACAAAAAGTGGTAATTTAGTTGATGGTAATTTGTTTCTTACAAATACACTGCTTTTTGCTTCACAGGACGTAAATTGATGGATTGGAGTCGTGTGAATTACTTGTGGATTATTGTGATGTTTTTATCAGCTGTTTGAACTCTTATTCTGATGGTACACATTCACTGCAGAGGATCCATTGGTGAGCAAGTGATGCAATGCTAAATTTCTCCAAATCTGTTATGATGTAGAAGCAAACTCAATCTACATCTTGTATTGCCAGAGGGTGAGTAAATTTGCAGCTAACTTTAATTTTTGGGTGAACTATTCCTTTAATTTTCTTAACTATCCCATCGATTTGTGATTATTAGATAAAGATTTTTTAAATACATTTTATAGAATACTGCAGTTCAGTGCAGTACCCTCTGTGTCAGTGAACTACCATACAACAGTGTGTACATACCGAGTTTGTTCCCAGGATTTGCAGGTTGGGCTTGTCAGCCTCCAGGAGTTTCCGCACCATCTTCAGGAAACTCTCCACGAACAGGTTGATACTCTGACAGTGGCAGGCCATTAGCAGCTGGTCGAGGGCTTCCATCGCAATACACACATACCTGAAGAGACAAACACACATTGAATATGGGCAAGAGGTGTATTACAAATCACAAGATGGCTATATCAGATCAGGCTTATTATGAATTTCGTTACCCATAACGGTGTCTAGCTACATCACGAGACAATCTCTCAGACAGGTACGCCCCAATACGATCCAACTTCTCTGGAGCTGACAGAGCATAAAAAGTCAGCTTCTCCATGTTGGCCTTTACCAATCCATCCTACAGACAAACAGACACACACACACACACACACACACACACACACACAGAAAGTATCAATATCATCAACGCAGCACACTTGGAACAGGGCAAGAATTACATGTTTCAATCTTTTTGGTCTTGATTATCAGTAGATTATATTAAAAAAAAAACTTTTAGTAACTGTAAAAGTCTGTCATCATACAAAAGTTTGGTGTTGGTAAGTTTTTCTTTGATGAAAAAGAAGTTCAGAAGAACAGCATTTATTTGAAACAGAAATCTTTTGTAATATTATAAATTATTTTACTGGTGCTTTCGACAAAGTTAATGCATTCTTTCGGAATAAAAGTATTTTATTTCAATTAACAAAAAAAAACAAAAAAAAAAACATACTGAATCCAAACTTTTGAATGGTAGTGTATCATTGTCAAAATCTAATCATACAAGTGAATTCAAGTATCAAGAAATTATAAATGAAAGTAAGCAAAACAGATGTTAATTTTGAGATTTGCTAAAGATTACATTTAACAGCATTATTTATTAGACCTTTAAAAATTAAAAAAGGGGAAATAAGCATGCATAAATAAACATCCATAATCAATCCAGATCAGGCAGTAACCAATATGGTACCAATAAATTGTGCATCCCTACATGGGATGCATATTTGCATTCAAACAGAATGTAGACGAAATGCAAAAACACACTCCAACAGGGTGACAAAACGATCACAGTCCTCCAAGAAGAAGACTAATGCATTCTGCATAGTAACGGGAATATTGCTCACAGCTGGTGACCTACGGTAGTGACAGGAACTGTCTTTAAATAAAGACAGTGAAGTTGTTACAAAAGTGTTGCTTAGATGGCTGCAGCACTTTAAAAGGATGAATTTAGAAATGCAACTTCTCTAAAAAATGTTTTAGCAAGTTGACAGTCTAAGTTAAAAGTGACTTTCAGCTCCCTTAACTCTTCTATTCATTTTATCCCCTCATCTACTGCTGTTAAAAATATGAAATATTGATGCTTAAAACATTGCAGATAAACTTGCAAGTACCTCACTGACTAGTTGAGTCTTGGATAAATAGTAAACAATTAAATAATCTTTAGGGAGACAATGTAGCATACAGATTTATGGAAACTACTCAGTCCATCTATTTACATGGACAGTGAGTTTTTGGTGCTAAAGAAGAAAGTTATCTGTAGCAGTTTTTCTGTAGCTGGAGAATCATTATAGTAATGTTCACTCCTGCTGGTTTTAACCCACACTGAACACTAATTTACTGAACTGCCGCAGCGCACAGGTTCACGAACATGAGCTGAAGGAGATATTTCAGATATCTCAGCTTTCAGGTGGATAGCTTTTCAGAAAATAACATAAAATGGTGTTGAACTCTGTCTCAGCAAAGACTGAGAGTCGCTTGCATCCTCGGACACCTGCTTTGGTAATTGCCTCTTACACAATAAATGCACTTTCTTTTAAGTGGTCTCGAAAAGCAAGCATCTGCCGACAGCATAAATGCAATTGCAAATAAGCGGTTTGAGAGGCAAACGAGGGCTGTTTGACTGTAAATAGACTCTCTCTGAAGAATGGAGTTGAGAAAGAGGGAATGCTCTCACTTCTGGGTCTTCAGGGAAGATGTTGTCCACCAGTCTCTTGTAGCGCGGCCTCAGCGCTCCACAACAACCACACACCCCTGCAGAGAGAGAAAAATCAAGAGCAAATGTGGTTAAGGATTCATTTCTGTAAACAAAGTGGCATTGATTTTAGAAAGACAGCTGATTTCCGCCCACAAATGGCATCATAAAAAGGGTTCTGGGTTGTCATCAACACCACAGAAAGCGATCTCAAGACATTGACAAAGTGTCGTTGACAAAGCCTGTCATCTTATAAACATATAACATTTCTTGAAATGGGAGACAAGCCTTTTCTAGTATATAATGTTATTGACCAAAATTTGAGACAATATTGTAAACATTTTAGCTCACAATATACACTCTTCCAGAAATAGAGGCTATGACCTTGGATTATTAGTCTAGCGTGATAACATGGGGGGGGGCGATGTGTGGGCTTGTGGAAGGTCCTTCGTGCAGGTCGGAAATGGCACAAGTTGCATCTGTGAAAAACAGTGAACCTTGAGGAAAATCATGCAACATATACATAACACACCGTCTGACATCGGCTGCCAATATGCAGAGGGAAATCTGTGATCCGATTGGCCCATGCTTCTCAGCAGTGATGAGTCACACGTGTCCCACTGAACAGCGTGACGGCGAAACAATGAACTTCTGGAGGCAAGCATAACTTATGTTTTCTTCCACAGTATCAACTGAAAACTATGGTAAGATAAAATCCATTTCTGAAGTCACAAAACAGATTTCATGGAGATCTGGCTCATCTTGAGAGCAGAAAGACCTTAATCTCTGAATGGCGTCATTGAGGGGAAAATCTTCCGATCTGCGAATGGTTTTTCTGATCTGTTCCGCTAAAATGAGTGTTTGAGAAACAAGAGCCAAGGCGCCTCTATTTTTAGCTTCTGCTCCATTTTGACTTCAAAGAGTATCTTTACCCCACTGCTCAACTCAATGTCCCTGTTTATGTTGAACCCATTTATGTTCCATCCTCATGCCATTCCAAACATTGACTTCCTTTCAAATGCAAAAGTATGAGTAAAATATTCAGGCTGCTCTTTTGCATATTCAATGAAAGTGAATAAGTCATTATTCACTGAAAATAGTTTTCGTATATTAGTACTTTATCATATTCAAATTATTTGCAAATGCAGGACAACCAATGCCACTGGGCATCATGTAAAAAGTAAAAGACTGTTTGCAAATAATGACATATATTTGATAATAAAAATGATATATATTTCCTGACACAAAGCTATCATATGGCTTTAGAAGACTTGGAATATAGTGTATTCTTTGATTAATAGAAAGTTCAAAAGAACACCATTTATTTGAAATAGACATCAACTGACTATCACTTCTTATTAATTTAATGCATGCTTGCTATATAAATACATATATACAAATCTATATAAAAAAAGTCTTACTGGCCCTAAACTTTTGAACGATGTGTGACCTCGAAAATCTAATTTCAGTTAGTTCCACATAAAACTCTATCATAAGGCTTCAGAAGACTTGTGGACTACTGATACCTTTATGGTGGTTTTAGCTCTTTTCTGGAGCTTGAAAGCTCCTGGTCGCCATCCACCTTCATTTTATGTAATAGAGCACCTCTGAGATTCTGCTGAACATTTTTGTGAATCATGCACATTTGGAAAGACATGAAGGTGAGTAAATGATGACAGAAATACCATTGTTGGCTTAACTACTCCTTTAGGGCTTGTAGGTTTTATGATAATGCAGCTGCCACGTGAGAGAAGGAGAGCTGCTGCACTGCGCCGTGACTCTGTACCCACATGAACAGACAGAGACGGCACCACACTGACAGCCAGAGCTGCCACCCCCTCACAAACAGCTGTGTTTCTTTCTTGTGTCTCTTTCCTACAAATTAAATCTCCATCAAGCAGATAAAGACAGAGAGATGGTCTTTAATGCAGAAAACTTTTATTATTCATTGTCTGAGACTGGATTGGTAAAGCATATGCAATGCTATCTGTCATGCCAATTAAGCCAATGGAGCACACAAACTTTTGTCGCGATAGGCACTGTCTGCATGCTTGACTAGTCAAGGCTGGGCTGCTCTGTTTTCACTGAAACTAGATCGTATGGTGATCCGCAACATGACCAGCTCAATGTCATGATCAAAACACCACCAGCACACTCTCTAGGAGTATAAATCCACACAACTGACTCTTCCTTGACATAAAATGAAACCAATACACGTGGTTTATACTTCTGTGTATATTGCACCTATGCAATATATATACAACCCATTTTTTTCCCCACAAACATCACAAATTTAGTGTAAAATCTAGACAACAACAGTCAGGAAGGATGTTTTCTGCTGGCCAGATGGGTCTTTACTTAAGAATTTGACTAGCCATGCCAAAATTCACTACTGTTTGGAGTTACGTTTTTTTTTTGTTTATTTTAATTTATTTTTTATATAAATAGTTTAATTATAAAAAAATTTTCTTCAATTTCTTTTCACAGAAAAGAAACATTCTTGACAAAAATGTTCTAAAGTAATTTTCTTTAAAAAAAAAAGCAAGTAACAAGCTGGAAAGTATACAGCTATAATTTAACTCAATTCATAAACACACCATTGTTGGAAAATGGCAACACATCCTTGCAATTTCACCAAAACCTCATCCATTTCAGTCAGCTAGATAACATTATATTGGTGATAAAACAAGCAGAATTAACGACAACAATCACATCACAGAAAAACCAAACATTTGTTTGCAAGGCAAAAAAAAATTATGTTCAAGATCAATGAATGTAAGATTTTCAATGTCACCGCAGCAGTGGCCAGAAAGGCCAAATTACATTTCTGAAAACTGGTCAGAACCATGCTTACACTGGTCCCAAAGATGTGTCTATAGTTAATCTATAGTTAATAATGACTATTGAGCGTTCATTACTTCATGTAGTCACTGATGTTCCTCATTTGTGTGTTTCCTGGCTACATATAGTTTCTGCTTCACTTGATGATGTCTGGGAAGTTTTTTTCACACTGACAAATTATGCATTTCGCATACCGCACAGAACACTACACTAACACCACTTATACTCTCAGACAGCAGAACAGCTCGTATTCTGCCATTTATCAAGCAGTCTTTCCTCTGTTGTGTACAATACTATAGCAATAGTTTAGCCACAGATGGGAAAGAGTGAACTCTCTGTGTCCTCCATTTGTGCCAGAATCTGTGATGTTGACAGAACTCTCACCATTGATTAATCTGCGGTGTCAACAGGCCAACCAAACTGTGTCACATGGACAAAGCTTTGGGGGAAATCAATATATCCAAACACATTCTCTACAGATTGATACTGAGAGACAGAAGAAAATGCAGCAAGTAACAAGCTGGAAAGTATACAGCTATAATTTAACTCAATTCATAAACACACCATTGTTGGAAAATGGCAACACATCCTTGCAATTTCACCAAAACCTCATCCATTTCAGTCAGCTAGATAACATTATATTGGTGATAAAACAAGCAGAATTAACGACAACAATCACATCACAGAAAAACCAAACATTTGTTTGCAAGGCAAAAAAAAATTATGTTCAAGATCAATGAATGTAAGATTTTCAATGTCACCGCAGCAGTGGCCAGAAAGGCCAAATTACATTTCTGAAAACTGGTCAGAACCATGCTTACACTGGTCCCAAAGATGTGTCTATAGTTAATCTATAGTTAATAATGACTATTGAGCGTTCATTACTTCATGTAGTCACTGATGTTCCTCATTTGTGTGTTTCCTGGCTACATATAGTTTCTGCTTCACTTGATGATGTCTGGGAAGTTTTTTTCACACTGACAAATTATGCATTTCGCATACCGCACAGAACACTACACTAACACCACTTATACTCTCAGACAGCAGAACAGCTCGTATTCTGCCATTTATCAAGCAGTCTTTCCTCTGTTGTGTACAATACTATAGCAATAGTTTAGCCACAGATGGGAAAGAGTGAACTCTCTGTGTCCTCCATTTGTGCCAGAATCTGTGATGTTGACAGAACTCTCACCATTGATTAATCTGCGGTGTCAACAGGCCAACCAAACTGTGTCACATGGACAAAGCTTTGGGGGAAATCAATATATCCAAACACATTCTCTACAGATTGATACTGAGAGACAGAAGAAAATGCTTATTAAAAACAGACAGAAGGAAGAAGATTAGAGAGGAAGGGGATGAAGGGGACGATGCTAATGACGGTCATTCAAACAGCAGGAAGCATCTCCAACTGTTTCCTCCATCAGAAACAAATCTGCTCCACTCTCTGATGCCACATGGCTTCGAGCAAAAGCATATACGCACCATCCTTTACCCAAATAAACAGGCTTTTAAAGCAAAAGACAAATGTATAGAATCAGTGCCTTTAAAAGCATCTAATCTTCAGGGCTAAAACTAAATTCTGGTATCTGATCTGTTCAGGCGTCATGTTAATCAACTAATCTTGATTTACCACAATGTCAGACTCTCATCATGCCTTAAATAAGAAATAGTAGATCAGTACTACTCTCAGACATTCATTATAACCATGGACCAATATTGCTTTTCTGCAACACCTGCCAATATTTTTTGTAGAATTATTGAGTGTAGTCTGAAGGCTGAATCCAGAAACCGCCTGCTTCCTCTCTCTCGCACCTGCATAAATTCACAATCAGCACAGCTGCAACAGAGCCTTGATTATGAAGAGAAGGTTCCTTGATTACAATGTACATTCCAAATGCTCGACAGAGCCCCACAACAAAGTGCACTTCACAGGGTATTCAGCCAGTTACAATGCAAAATTCTGGGATTACAAATCATAAGGAATGTTCCAACTTAAACACTGCAAACAACATAGGAAAGAAGTGTAAATCAATATATCAGCCCTATATAAAGTCTGGCTAAAAGATATTTTATTATAAAAAGTAGAGACATATTGCAAAGCACTTTACAATCAGTAAACAAAAATCGGCACACTGCCACTGCTGCTCCCTAGGGATGCACGATATTGGATTTTTTCCAATATCGGACATGCCGATATTTTTCAACACATTTTGGCCGATAGCAGATGCACATACCGATATATTTCCTTTTGTTTGGAAACAACACCAAGTCTCTCCTGTGCAGATATTATAAACAAATTATTTGTAATTTTTGGTTAGTTTTTAACAAAAACTTGTTAGGATTAAATACGCAATAATGAAGTTATTTTATAATGAGAGTACATTTAAATCTTTAAAAATAGCTATAAATCAACTATAAATCAATCACTGCATTTTTTTCAGACAGATGCAGTGGTAACATTTTATTTGTAGATTTAACATTTGTAGATGGTCTAAAGCAAAGGAGTTGTACAAATTCTGAAAATCTTTTAGAGCTTAATCAAAAAAAAAAAAATATATATATATATATATATATATAAAAATGAATAAATCTGCATATATAAAAATTAATTTGTAAATATAAAATCTATTTAATGACACATCATTCCGTACTTGTATTCCCAAATTGAGTGCGGCAATCCAAAACAGTGAATCTAATCATCATTCAGATGATTAAAAAGTTTGCTTCAAGAATGACCACACTGCTGACGTGATCTTATCGCTAGCATAACCTGAGCAAATGTGAGTTATTTGTCTTATCGGCAAGGCATATCGGCATAATTTTTCATATCGGGCCGATGCCAATGTTAATAATGTTCCGATAATATCGTACATCCCTACTGCTCCCAAAGATCAGTTTATTAAAATCAACACAACATTTCGACTCTAAGGTATTCGTCAGGCAAATAACAAGTGCACAGAAGAGTCTTTTTTTTGTGTGTGATTATTTTGTATTTTACTTTTTGAAAAAATACAATTCCGTTTATTGGATGATTGGGTAATTAGTTGACTAATCATGTCAGGTGTGATGGATTATGTTGATATAAATTGTATTCTTCTGTACACTTGCCTGACGAAGACCTTAGAGTCGAAACGTTGTGTTGATTTATTGAATTGCTCTTTGGGAGCAGCAGTGGCAGTGTGCCAATTTTTGTATACTGATAGTGAAGTGCTTCATTTCATCGACCACCTGTCTAAAGTTTTTGGATGTGCGCATATTACATTTTCTTCTAACTGCATATCGCAAAGCAGGCAGATATTGCAAATTAAATTGCATTTATTTTGATTTCAAAGTTTGCATTTGGATGTTTTTATGAATATATATTAAAGTATGGTCATTTATATTTATATCACTTCTTGAGAGTAAAGCATTAGGGCTGGGCGGTATATCGAGTTTGTACGTTATATCGATATTTTCTTTAGAAGCGATTCGATATGAGGCAATACCATTTATATTGATATACAGTAGTTTGATACGAGTGCATCTGAAAATATAGCGGAGGACACAGACTGAGCTGCTGCGGAGAAAGTGCATAATCCAATTTGTTCTAAAGATGTGACAAGCTTCATATTAAGGCCTTTAAAACTGGTAAGACATAGTTTATAGTTTTGTTTCGCATAGTTTAAGCGGCTCGGCCTGTCATATGCTCTGACAGAAAGGCTGTGTGTGCTGCTGACAGAGACTCTAGGCTACTCGCGCTGTTTAATGTGTTTGAGATGTGCTGTCTTCCTGAATGCATAACTTACATTTCACAGGTATATTCTCCATCTGTAAATGTTAGAAAGCCATGGAAATATTTCCATTTTTCTGTCAGAAGTGCATGCCATGAGCCTTCTGCTTTGGGATTCTCCGCTAAACTTCACAGGCTTCAGTGAACGTGAACGAGTGTCGCCGCATGCACGTGCTCCAAGCAGACGGAGCTCAATTAAATAGGAGCGCAATAATTCTGACTAAAATATACATTTCGCTGAAATATTTGTAGTTGGACAATAAATGTGACATGTAGAATTTTAAACCCTACAAGTCTATTTCCATGATAGCACTGACTGTAAAGTGACTGTAATGGGGTAATCAAAATAGTCTAACACAACTCTGTGCTTTTGTTCTCATTTTTAGTTTAGTGAATTTAACTTCCGCTTTAAAAGCCTTATTTTTGTTTTTAGATTGCAATGTTAGAATGAAATGTGATTTTAACCCTTTTTTTGCACATAATATAAAGGCTTACATGGTTACATTCACTTTAATATGTATTGTTTTGTTGGACAACACTGGGCGGTAAGTGAAATATATATATATTAAATATGGATTTTTTTTAATCCAAATACAAAAATTAAAATACCGAGATATATACCATATATCGCAAATCGGCCAAAAAATACCGATATATGAATTTTTGCCCATATCGCCCAGCCCTAAAAGCATAATGTGAAACACATTAAATCTCATCTTTCATTGGCTCCAAACTCACACCATTGTTTTAAAAGCACCAGAGAAACTGAGAATCAGTCAGCGAATGGCTTACTTATAATTGTTTCTACACATTAACTTCACTATTTGTAGTGAGATCTAACTAAAAGTTCAGAAGTACATCTTCAAAAAACACAAGGACACACACACATCCAGCAATGTGAAGAGCTCAGTGGGTCAGCATTAGGAGATGCTGTATTGCCCTTCAGTGATGTTATATAATACACAGCTAGAGCCCACATTCTTCTATTTTTACACGCGAGGAGAGAGGGCCGCCTCAGAAGACATCTCCAGCATACGCGCACACACATCTCTACCTGAAACCACCAGCTGCCCATCATAGACAATCACATGTTTTCAAATGTCTAAGTCCAACAACAATATGAGTAATGATGAATTAAGAAAAATCTATATTTCTACACTGATCATTAGATGAGATTAGACTCACCTTTATTGTCATTGTGCAGAGTACAATTACAGAGCCAATGTGGTGAATAATGAATAGGCCTAAGTGTTATAAAAATCCATCCCATGTGTTTAGGAGAACAAAATCATAACTTCCTGGGAAACCTGTGCAATATGTAATAAAAAAATAATCAAATCTGTAATAAAAATGGAAGTTAGTGCAATCTGTGATATGGAAAATATCATAGAATAGAATGGGGCTGGGCGATATAGCTAAAAAATGTATCAACGATATAATGTTTCATATCGTTCGGTATCGATAATTATTGACATTTTTTATAACCTTTTTTAAAACAAAGAGCAATAGAAATTTTTTGTTTTTACATTTAACCACTGTATTTTTAAATTAACTCAATTTATTGAGACAAACAACAATTTTTTTTTGTTTTAACAGTCAAACACAAAATAAAAATTAAACAAATATCTAATTTCTAAGTTTTATATGCAGATTAAATAGGTTAAACTTTTGGCTTGTTTCCCGAGGCCACAGAAGGGCGCAATGAGCAAAATAATAGAGCACATTAAATTGTCAACGCAAGGAAATAACTGTCTATAAAAAAACGTGCATTACGTCTAAATTAACTCAAATAAATCAAATACAATTTCGGAAATTGCATAAACAATTATGAACAAAACAGCATCACGTATTTATGCATTGCTTAATACAAATAGCCAAAGCACTGATCACACAGATTGCCTTTAAAAACATATGAAAAGGAATAAACCTCCACAAATTCGTGACGTGCTTTCTAAAAGTTTAAGCTGTTTTAACTTTGCATGGCTTTCTATACATCTCTTGTGTGTGACGCGAGTGCAGCAATCATATTTGTCCATCTAGAAAATGCGCTGAATATGCGTTCTGTGTGAATGGCTTGGTTTCGGTTTTAACCAAATCAAGATCTTCTACGCATTGAGCTACTATATTTCTCTAATATTTTGAATGAATAACGCAGCAACTGCGCGTCTCGTGGGCTAGACTAACAAAACATTAAACTACAACGTCACTTACATCATCATCACCGCATCTCGTGCTCCACTGATGACGCTCTCTGACGCACACCTAACATTTGATTGTACTATTTTTGCATTCAAATGCAAATGTTTATTTTAATTTCGACTAATATTAATTTTTTTATTCACAATCTCCTCATCACAGGCAGGCACAGCACTCATGTTCATGTGTGTGTGTGTGATGTCTGTGTCACTCATAGCACTTGCCTATATTGTGCACTATATCGAACATTTTTTATATCGTTATCGAAGAAGGTGTAACGTCGATAAATATCGATACCGTTTTATTGCCCAGGCCTACAATAGAATTTATGCACATCTTAAAAAAAACATTTACTGAAACTGTACTTTTGGCAACTTTCTGATGCTGCACAGATGAGTGGGCTATATCAACATCTGCGGCATATTTTAGCATGGATTACTGATTTCTGGAAATTAGAGAGGGAGGGAAGGAAGGAGAAGGTTTCTGGAATTAACTAAGTTTCAAAACGAGAGTGGAAAATCGTAATTAAAATGGTCTAAAATATGAGCAAAAAAATAATGTTTTTAGCCCAAAAAGACTTAAACTTGGTGGGACCTCAGGGGAAAAGCAAAATATTACGAACAGTATGATAACACTACAAGAAATCCATTGAGTTTCCTGAGCTATTAAAGAGCAAGAGTGAGGCGAAAATCAGAGTTTATGCAATAGTGTGATCTATGATTGCATTAATCAGTTCTCCTGTGACATGATCAGCTGACATGCCCTGCTAACTTGTCATCACATGGCGAATTGTGTCCTGATCGATAAACATCAGTCGTAACGTGATCTGTTAACACCACAATCAGTAACTGCACTGAAGGGTCAGCAAACGTACAGAATGTGCTGTATTGACAATGACATATCAGCTAAAATCTCCAAGACAAACCAGCAGATCAAACAAACATGTACGGACACAGAAAACTCAACAACACAAGAAACCTGCCACCATGAGAGCAATCAAACAAACCTACAATAAAGCAATCTCACGACAGCAGACAGCGTCTGTTTGACAGCATGCACACTTGAGTTTATCAAGAGTCACTGGATGTACTAAAGAGAAGTCATGTCCGAGTGCTCAAGTAATGCAGTCAGGGAAGATTCCAGTTTCCCTTTATTACGCACAAACCCCTGCAGAACACACACACACACAAACAAAGCCCAGTGCTTACCATACATTGCTCTTGATGTCAGTGAAGCTGCTTTCTCTTCTCAATCCTTCCCTGCAGCGTCTTAGATGCAGCTACAGAGGGATTTTTGGAGACACTCAGCCTAAACGCTCACACACATGCAGTCTGCTGCTCTGACGGCTGAAAGTGATGCGATACAAAACGGGAGAGATCGCACATGCTAATGGACAGTGAGGGGGAAGTTATGATGCTGCTGGGATGACCTTGGCTATTGCACCAGCCTATAAAAAAAATAACGCTCATTTTGCACGCACGAGTGTACACCGGCTCACCACTCAAAGAGGGAGGGGCTAGAGAGAGAGGAGGAGAGAGTGGGATGTGCTCATTCATTCTTGGCAGAAGCTCCTCCCTCTTTCTTAGATTCTCTCTTTCTCTGGTTGTGTTCAGAATCAAATACTACTGTACCGCTTACTGCATAGCATACAATGTATACTGCTGATTTTAATTCATGAAACTTGGGAAAAATGGAAATATAAATGCTTTTTTAAAGAAACATCACAATGTCTTCAAAGTAAAAAGCAGCATGTCTTGTTTAGTCAGTATTGTTATATATTTATTTTTTATATAATTTTTTTATGTATACTGTTACCATTCTAAAGCTTGGAATCTGTATGATTTTATAATCTTTTTGAAAGTCGTCTCTAATGCTCACCAAAGCTGCATTTATTTGATCAAAAATACAGTAAAAACAATTGTATTGTGAAATGATTACAACTTCAAGATTACTTTTTGAACATATTTTAAAATGTAATTTATTCCTTTGATGCAAAGCTGAATTTTCAGCATCATTACTCCAGTCTTCAGTGTCACATGATCCTTCAGATCATATTATCAACTTTGAAAACAGCTGCGCTTTTAATATTTTTGTGGAAACAGTGATAGATTGTTTTTTTAAGGATTCTTTGATGAATAGATGGTTCAAAAGAATAGCATTCATTTGAAATATAATTTTTTTGTAACATCATACATTTTTTGATGGTCACTTTTGATTAACTGTTTATTTAAAAAAATTTAAAGTATTAATTTCTTAAAAAATAAAACCTTACTGACCCCAATCTTTAATGAACAGTAGTATATAAGGATCAGAAACAAGCCCTATTACACAGTAAAAATTCCCCCCAAAAATTCAGGAGGACGTCTGTAAATAATAAAAATTGGCTCTTCAAAAGACAAAACTCATGCATAGTAATATAAGCAAATAAAAATACTTTCATATACTGTATATACGAAGCACGAAATCACGAAGTAAGTGACCTTTGGATCGTTGAATCACTGGCTCACTCGATTCGCTCAAAAATATTTTCATTCAGAAACGAAACACCGCCGTGTTGGCTGCACTGTTGTATAAAATTAAGAGCACATTTGCGATCGCACACACATGCTGATATTCAGGAAAGCACTCTTGCTTGTGTGATAAATATAGAAAAATAAAAACTAATACAAGGGTATTTTTTTCTTTTATTACTTGAATTATAGGGGCATACTTCTAACTGCATTCTAACAGGCTTCATCATGCTGTCAATTCTTTTGGACTCTTTTTTTTTTTTATGTGTTTTTGTTTGTTTTCCGCAAAGTCAGTGACTCCATAATATCATGCTTTAGTATCGTCTCTTTGTCCCTCGCACGCAGTCACATATACAGCATAATAATGTTATGTCAGGTGAATGTCTTTAAACTCAAATCAAGGAAATATCATACATGCTACTGTCTTCTTTTTATAGAACGTCAAAAGTTGCGTTTAAACCATTTTGCGTGAAAAATGTGCGCAGCTTGCATTGTATTTGGCCAATCGCCGTTATTTAGTTCGTAAATTATCATACCAAGAGAATTTTGGTTGCTATGGCTTTATATTATATAAGTTTTACATAATATACAACATTATTAATCTAAAGGATATAGTAAGGGGGGATGGTGGTTTTACAGAGGGGATGCTTTTTGTCTGGGGTTTTTTCAACAAGGGGGATGCCATCCCCTTTAATTCTAGCCCTGCAAATATAAATAAATTAATATTTATATAAATCATAAATTGATTGAATATTCAAAACCCACTGGCGTTTATGACATCCATATAAATCTAAAAGAAAATGTTATGCTTTACACACCTGTTGCTGCTAATTTGACCATTTTAAAAATGCAAATGTGGTCCAAAAATAGTAGTTTTTCCATTAGTTCCTCCTCCAAGAGATATTGATTCAAGAGTCAAATTCCCACATGACCCTGGAGTTTTTCTAAAAGCAGTAGTTAATTCAGCCTGGAATTTTCTCCAGGGGCCTCAGAGAAAAACACTGACATTTCCCAATCAGATGGCAATTAAATCACCAACTACTACCTGTAAAAGCTGAAATTATATTACGTCCCCCTGAGAAATAATTACTGCCAGAATAGGGCTTTAGAGCAGTATGTTAGTATGCTATTCCAAACATAACCTTTGTCGCTCTCTCTCTCTCTTTCTCTCAGATGGCATGGTTTTCCTCCTGCAATCCATCATTCTCGTCCTACACTCTCTCTCACATGTGTGTTCTGTGGTAAAGATACAACACACAAACAGCACAGCTAATGTGTAGGCTTTCACACTTGCTAAAATTTTTCCAGTGACACTAGATTGCAAGAGATATGCAATACCAACACCACAGTAAATAGATATTTTATCCCAAATACTTTTAGAAGCATGTTATGATCATACGTAAACATTTATTTATTTTTGTTAAAGAGGACAACACACACACAGTTTTGGCCAATCTCATGTTAATCTTGAGTACCTATAGAGTTGTATTGCAACCTTCATATCTCCGACGAGTCTTTAGTTTTATCAGATTTCTAAAAGAAAAATACAGCTTTTACAGTGCCCATACAAAGAATTCCGTCCATCATGACGTCACGAAGGGCCAAGCTCGGAAAAAAATTTCTAGCTTTTTATACTGCTCTTTTATAAATATATACTATAATATTTTATAAATACTGCTTTTTTATAAATATATACACACACATACAAACACATATATATATAATAAAAAAGACAAAAAAAGAACAACAATATTGCTGAAACAAACTAAATTTAAACGATAATTTAAAATATAAAAATAAAAGCTAATTCAAAATACTAATATAAGGCATATTTATGATTATTATTAACAATAATAAAGATAATACACATTAATAAATACTATAATACCATATAAATACCACTAAAATAACACTGCTGGACTACACGTCAAAAGACTACAAGTCAAAAATGAAACTGAAGATTCAGTGCCTGGTAAAAATACCAATCAATGTTTTTTGAACATAGGGCTGAACGATATGGCCAAAATTGATATCACGATATATTTCTTAATTTACAATGTAATTCCAATATCGATATGAACACTATTTATCTGAAATAGAAATCTTTTGTAACATTATAAATGCCTTTATCATCACTTTTGATCAATTTTAAGCATCCTTGCTAAATAAAAGTATTAATTTCTATCATTTCTTTCCCAAAAAAATAATAAAAATTATACTGAATAGTGTATAATGTTACAAAAGCTTTTTATTTCAGATAAATGCTGATCTTTGGATCTTTCTATTCATCAAAGAATCCTGAAAAAAAAATTTACTCAACTGTTTTAAATATTGATAATCAGCAAATCAGCATATTAGAATGATTTCTGAAGATCATGTGACACTGAAGAAATGATGCTGAAAATGTACGATCACAGGAATAAATTACATTTTAAAATCTATTCAAATAGAAAGCAATTTTACACAGTAAAAATATTTCAACATTTTACTGTTTTTGCTGTACTTTGGATCAAATAAATGCAGACTTGGTGAGCAGAAGAGAATTCTTAAAAAAAAAATAAAACATTAACCCTTTAATTGTCACTCACATTTTTGAACACAGACGTGAAAGTGCACCATCCAAACTAAAATTGTTATAATTCATGAACGAAAACATTTTGTAACATGATATTGATGTACCATTTTCATGGTAATGCAATGTTTGATTTTAAAATGGGTATCAAAGGATGAATTTTGAGATTTAAAGTTTTCAATTGATATATAATTTCTGATGATTTCTAAAATGTGATCGAGAAAAAGGCAATGAAGAAGACTTTTTATGACAAAGGTCAGAACTCCTGATATGATGTCGATTTTTTAGGTGCACTCGTCATAAATTAATCTATTACTTTTCCTACATAATTTTTTTTACAAAAACATTGGTAAAATATCTATTTAGGAGTCTTAGACCTTTCCAACGATATATAGTTTGTCATGATTAGATTAGGATTTAATCGTAATATAGTGAAGTAAACGTATGCGTCCCACAGAGGGGACGGGTGACAGTTAAAAATCTTACTGTTCAAAAACTTTTGACTGGTAGTGTAAGCTGATTATTCTTATAGATTGAAACAAATATGCTTCAGCCAGAAAAAACTGTATGAAAAGTGCTCCGAGTCGCTGCAGAAAACAAAAAAATTGAACAACAAAACTGGAAACGTTGCTGGAGACGGGCTTATTTAAAATGAAAACTGATTCTCTGCCAGCAGGAGGCGCTTTTAGAGTGGTAGAACAAGCGGTTTCTCCAGTAACGACTGTTATAAAAGCAGCTCCGCTCATGAATGCTACTTTATCAGATCAAATGAAAATGCCATCTAAACTTTTCTGAAGACAGTCGGTTCCCTTCAGAGATACATTCATATAAAACACCCGTGCCGTGTTATGATTTTGAAACATGCAGTGCTCATGTTTATTCAACAATGTCAAATGGCACAAATAAATCAATGTATGGGAAACTGGTAAT